GTTGTATTTTCAATCATTTGCCTGCGCCGGCCTACTGGTACTGGACACGTACCTACACTACGGTTAGAGACAAAATTGTGTCTCTGGTCAATTTTGTGGTGGACTAGACGACTGAACTACAGGTATCTACGTACGTACGGGTCTCGCAGAGATGAATTTTAGGCTCAGCTCAACTGCATCGATGTGCTATGAGTACCAGCAGAGGAATATGGTTTCGGAGGTACATCGATCCATCGAGCAGGAGTACCAGGACGCAGAGACGAATTTCAACCTCAATTCAAACTCAAAATAGTACGTACCAGTATGAGTGTTATGAGGAGTACCAGCAGGAATATGGTGGTCACTTTAGCATGCAAAGTGCATATTGTCCCCACTTCAGGCTCTGCTGTAATATGAGCACCAGCAGAGGAATATGGTTTCGGACGTACATGGATCGATCGAGCAGGAGTACCAGGACGCAGAGACGAATTTCAACCTCAATTCAAACTCAACATAGTACGTACCAGTATGAGTGTTATGAGGAGTACCAGCAGGAATATGGTGGTCACTTTAGCATGCAAAGTGCATATTGTCCCCACTTCAGGCTCTGCTGTAATATGAGCACCAGCAGAGGAATATGGTTTCGGACGTACATGGATCGATCGAGCAGGATTATGGTTGCAGAGAGGAATTTCAACCTCAATTCAAACTCAACAGAGTACGTACTAGTATGAGTCTATGAGGAGTACCAGCAGGAATATGGTGGTCACTTTAGCATACAAGTGCATATTGTCCCCTTCTCTTCCGGTATAGTAGCATATGCTAGCTATACATGAAAGTAGTACTTACTAGCTAGTGGTGGTACCACACCACACTGTACTAAAAGTAGCCGGGCTCATGACTAGCTCTAGCCTGTACATAACTCTCTAGATGCCCTCAACCAAACAAAATAATTGAGATGCAAAGTACATAGGAGTATATACAAATAGAACCATATTAATCATAGGGTGAGGACTCACCCAACCGAGGAGAAGATGAAGAAGAAGAAGAGGCGATTAAGCAGCTGAGAAACGAGGTAGCTTGGTTGGTTGGTTGTAACACCAGAGGACCACCAGAAGGTAGTTTTTGTGAGGTGCTCAATTGCAATTGCAGTAGTTGTGAGTAAGAATGAGGTTGGTAGCTAGGGAAGCTTGATTGGAGCCCTATTTATATAACCCAGAAAGGACTGGATTGGAAGCACGCACATCCCTGGCATGGCTGATCACATCCACCACTCGATTTTTTGCATTGACAGTGACAGGTTAGTGAGAGAGGGCAGGCCGGGGCCGGGATAATCGATCTCTTGTAGTGAAAAGCCCTGGATTGCGCGTGGGGGTGGCTACACGGCTAGCCTGGGGGTGGCGGTGCTGGTGGCTGTCGATTTGGTCGGTTAGGAAGAAGATGTCATATGATCTAAGTTAGCTAATTAGCGACCACCCCCACTCACAAATCCATGCAGTAGCATATTTCGGTTGTCTGTCGGTCTACATCAGTCTCTATCAACTGATCAACTCGCTAGCTAGCTTTACCGCCGCCGTTATATTGGTGTGCAAGAATGACAATCTATCTTCCCTGCTGCTTGCAACACACGTTAGCCTAGGCATGTCTCAAGCTCAGGTTGGTCCGGGACTCTGGGTGCAGATACAATGAGGAAATGAGGATATACACATAAAGATTGATTCCTTGTGGGAAATCGGAGGCACTTACTGGTGGGCCTGCCACCGGCGAGCGAATCCTCCTCGAGCAGTGTGCAGCCAATCATTGCATCCACATCCTGTCAATATATCTTTTCCTTTTAGAGGTCAAGTTCTCCCACTGTCTTTATACAGCACTAGGAATACTATCGTACGCACTGTACTGTACCGTATAAACGACGGTGGAAGTTGTGAGTTGTCGCTGTCCGGCTTGGTGAATGCAATGCTTCTACTCAATCTGGGATTTACTTGCCAAGATTCTGCACATCATGGCATATGCATGGATGCCCGTGGCCGCCCATTTCGATCTATTGATCAGGACATGTCGCTGCATGCTTCGTATCTTATGCATAGATTAGACGGATCCATACAACATATGTTGCAAATTACGTACTCCAGTGTTTTGAAAAAGTTGCAGCTTATCGCATTAGTTAATCTGAGCTGACACCCATTCATAATCTAACTAATAGTAGTCCTGGATGGGCACCACCAGACAGAGAATGGTATTGGATGAATAAATTAACAACGGTTTTGCTGCTTGTCAGGCAGCTGAAGTTGCGTTTCAGTCATTCTATTTTCCACACGTAGATCTGGGCCTGAAGTCGGTGACAACGGGGCGTGCGCGGCAAGGCGCAGGGACGCG